GGTCAAAGCAGAAGTTCCAGGTGTGGCTGAAACTAGAGGTAGGTGCTGGTAAATTATCTTTACATAAAACCCAAAGTTAAAACAAGCAAAATGAGCAGCGTGGGTTATAATTTTAGGACTTCTTTTTTAATACATAGCATCCCTTTTTTTTGATCAATCAAAAAAAAAAAAAATACATAGCATCCTGAGTAGAACATTTCCATTTCCAAGATTTTCTGCATTCATCCATCTAATCAGTACCATCATATGCAATGACACATGTAGCTTCTAAACCTTTCTAAATAACACATTTCTTAAAAACAATCTTCTCCTGTAGTTTAAAAAAACTAAACAAAAAATCCTCTCTCACCAGTGCCAAACACAGACGTGGTGGGGAATGTTGACGGCCAGTCCACCTGAGGACTAGGCGCTGCTTCGATCACTACAGGCGGTGGCTCCTGATTGGCTGGTTCTGGGTGGGTCACGCTCTGCTGCTGCGTTGGCTGAACAAAAGCCGTGGCCTGCGTCTGGATCTGCTGAACGGTCAGGATGGGGCTAGCCAGCGTGGTCTGAACGTTGGGGCTGGCGGAGCGCACAGAGCCGCTGGCACTGCCGTACACCGTCACATGCTCCACCGGCGGGCCTTCGCTTGACTGCATGGCTGCTGAAGCATTATGTCAGTGGAAATCACAAACAGAAATAYTTTAGAAACAAAGCAAAAACACTTAGAAAGAAGGTACTCTGCAGCTACGCCTACCTTCCTGTGTCTCCACCTGTGTGGTGGGCATGACGGTAGCAGTTGGTGTTGGCGTGGGCACAGGGGCCGGGGTGATCATCGGCCTGATGCTTGCTCGTGGAGTGGGTTTGTTACTTGGGATGTTGGTCTGTTTGCTCGCTGTAGCAACTACAGGTGTTGGCTTAATGTTGGCAGTTGGAGGCTCAGAAGTGCAGGCACTGTCAGCGAAGAAGAAGAAGAAGAAGAAGAAGAAGAAGAAGAAGAAGAAGGGGTTCAAGCAAAGGTTTTTCTGGACTCAAAAGTCAAATTCAAAAAGAAAATATCACCACCAAAATGTTTCAATCAAGATGATCTGTGCAAGATGCACAGCTGAAAACTGACATAAAAACAAATATTAAAATCAATCACACATATAAGCTCAACAACTTAATAACTCTAGAACAGGGCTATTCAACTGGCGGCCTGCAGGCCACATCCGGCCCACATGTGACCAAAGTTTGGCCCGCCAATTGGTTTATTCATCTCTTAAGCCCAAACCCCCAGTTTTCTACTTTAATTACTCTTTCTTTTAGTTAAACAGACATGTTTGGTATCTACAGAAACGTCAGAATCTAGGCTAGAAGCTGATAAAAACCATTTCTATAAACACCCAAGACAGTTAAAACTACAAGCAGTTGAAGATAAAGTGATGAAAGTGAAATTAAAATTGGTTTAAAAATTTGGCAAGTCAGAGATTTCAAAATATTATTTGTGTCAAACAGGAGGCATAATGTGATCTTTTTGTTTTTGATAATGTGTAATTATCACTTCTTTTATAGGGGTCTGTGTGTTGTATTCATGATTAAATGCAGCAAAATAAACTAATTCAAAGGTAACAGGTCTTTGTAGTACTTGGATTATTTATATATTAACTTTAATTGCTGGATGTTTGGCCCCTCAGCTGTTGACCAGCAGTAACTGTGGCCCCCGGAGCAATTTAGTTGAATAGCCCTGTTATTCAGAAAATTAAATCCCGACTCAAAGATGTTCGGAGCATTTTTCAGGTTCTGTTTTATATATAAAAAGGGTCATTCCATTTTCACAAACTTTAAACACAATACCACATGTCTGCAGACCCTCCTCTTTTTCTTACGGTGGTTTTAAATTGAAGTCATATTTCAGGCTCGAACTTCTCCGGTGGTCAGACAGTTCAAGGTTTGACGCTCTTACAAATAACTTTATTTCTATCTGGCCCGCCGTCGGGAAGAGTTGTAACCCATAAAGTCCGGTGACTTCCTCTTTGTTTCTGTCTGTGCTTCACCGGTTAACGTGAGCGCTGCACGTGGCCGGGCAACAAACCAACAACGAAGGCTCTCTTTGGTTGAGGAGCAAACGTCCATCTAAGACGTGATCAATATTCAGCCCCTCATTGACCACTGGCTTTGTCTGTGTGAGTGTGTTCAAAGCCAGTGAACAGACATAAACAT